AACCACTCACCAACCATTTGACATACCTGTACACCTTATCAACCACTCACCAACCATTTGACATACCTGTACACCTTATCAACCACTCACCAACCCTTTGACATACCTGTACACCTTATCAAACCCACACTGAAACCTTACAATGCAGTGCAGGTTGATCTCAAATGCCCTATAATTTGTTACACATAAACTAACCTTTTTTCTACTGCTGCAAGTCGGAGGTCTATTGGTTTTAAGGCATCTCTGAACATCTGAGCAAAGTTGAAAGAAGATACGATTATCAATAAATTACATAAAAAATTATATTATAATCACTTTGGACAGAGTAGAATAATGGTTAATTACATTTTAAATATTCCATAAACTCAGTAGTTGCAATTATTTGCGCGCTGGAATTTGTTTTTTTGCTGTCCGTCCCCTGTCAAAACTTTTTTCCAACTGATTGACAGCAGCATATAAAAAAAGATTGCAGCGTGTACCTTGTAGCAAGTTAGCATTCATTTGAAAATTGCTGTAAAATGTCTCTTAAAAGTTTTCTGGGAACAAAAGGCTTAACGCAACTATAATATGTTTATTACCATATATTGTAAAATTATATAACAGTCCAGGCCTCTAGATATATTTACTGTCAGTACTATTGTAAAACAACCATCAACTATGACGACAGAGTTCAACTTACTTCAATATTATGACTTTCCATTTCTTTTTTTATTTGTTCTATTATTTTCTTTGATATCCTAAAAAGTAAAAAGCAAAATCTAGATAAAAATAAATTGCTCATTCTAGTGCAAATTTTTTTAATTAAGTTTTGAAATAATAGGAGCAGATCAGGGAGCAAGTAAACATTTTATGAATTACTTATTTAACAATTATTTGCGAAGGCAAAGTACATATCCGGGAATATTTACCGATACCCGAGTCTTCGAGCAGCGAGGTAATATTCCCTGATATTTACTGAGGCTGAGGCAAATAATTGTTTTAGTATAAATACACAGGTGATTCTTTCAAAAAAAGAAAAAAAAGAAGATAAAAGACACGTTTTTTTCTGGTAACAGCAACAAAAGCTGCTGGCCACCATTTTGGATTATCACTGGAGGTGATTATTGTGTGATAGTGTGAGTTTCTCGACCAATTAGTGAGTGAGATTTTCAATAATCACCTGTGTATTTTTACTAAAAACTATTAATGGTATTTTAAAAGTCAGAGAAGTTTGCTCAGTAACTGCGTATTCTCCGATCCCTGGTTGATCCTTGATGAAATATTGCACAGGTCAATAGCTCATGTGCAGCAATGTATCCTAGGGCAATATATGTGTGGCAACTGTATCTATATGTGTCAGTATACACTCAATCGAAGAATCGTTGTCGGGTTCAGAAACATAGAACATAGAAGCTGAGACCAAAATGGTACATGGGAAGTACGTTAATTAGATGCATGCTGTGACCGGCGACCCGTGGCATCATCCACTGTTTTTAATATGCATTTGGCATTCTAAACCGACTGCATGGATGGTGCAAATGAATAAATTATAATATAATTATGTAATTTCCCATGTGCCATTTCAGTCTCAGCTCTTTAATTGAGTGTATGCTCAGAGTAATGTGAGGTAACATATGCTATTGGTGAGCAACCCCTTTCATTATGCGGTCCATCCATTGGCTATCAGAAAAACAGGTGTAACTATAGCTGCGATTCAAGAGAGAAGTTCAAGATTCTTCGATAGTAGGATCCAATAGATTCAATTCATAGTTTCATTTCATGTGACATAATTGTCAATAAGAGTAGGGGGGTCAGAAAAAGAACAAAAATTACAGAGTTTGTATG